GAAAATTGACTGCATCTGAGATAGTACCCTGGGGATGAAATGACTCCCACATAGGACTGCTTATTTAGGGACTGGCAACCACAATGTGCAGAGGCATCTTTCTTCATGGAGGTGAAATCTGTTTTCTCCATCTGAGTTGGATTTCAAGTTGGCTTTTATTTGAGCTAATAAATAATTTCTTTTAAAAACATAAACATATTGGGATGGGCAAAGAATTGTGACTCATGAATTTGTGTGGATTATTGAAATACCAATGCTTAACAACAGGTAGAGGAGAGGTATCTGCCAAGCTTGGGTTGAAATAGAGTCATAGAAGCCCATGTGATGCTTGATTATGGAGAGAATCAGAAAGTCCTAGTGGTGAGTTGAAGGAGTAAAATGAAGGGATTGAAGAATGGCTAAAAAAATTACCAAAATATTTCATAAAATGTATGGTACAAGGTAAATGTACTTATACAAAGTACATTTATACTAGTATACAGTACTGGAGTCCCAGTATTGGTTCTATGTATTTTTCTTTCAGTCTCAATAGTTAGGTGAGTTATGTGGCAGAAAGAGGACACTGATTAAAAGAGAGAGAGAGAGAGAAAAAAAAAAAGATAATGTAATTTTGAAGGACACAGTATCAGAAGAAAGAAGGCAGGAAACATCAAAAAATACAAAATTTGTGTCTAGGAAAGTATTTCATTCTTCTCCTTTTCCTAATCACAGATCTCCCTGTCCCCAGGAATCATAATCAGCAATATTATGCTCTAGGTCAATTCTCAGAAAAATAATTTGCCAAAATCTCATATGCTATTTGCCCAGTGACCAACATGTTAAAAAGTAAATACACCTAAAATGTAATTCAGTGAAGATCAATTTGCCAAATTCATTGGTTTTCTAGAAATCATTTACAGGGTTTGTAGCTTTTAGAATCTGATTAATTGGCAGAAGTAAGAAGACTACAGGGAGCCAGGTAAGCAAGGTGTTAAACCTCTAGACTCTTTTTCTGCCCTCAGTTTACCATTTCTTTTCCTCAGGTTTACTCTCTGCTCTCGGTCTAATCTTCTTTGAGCTTCTCAGTCTTCCCATCTCTGGGTTGACAAGTTGAGCTGAGTCATGTGCTAACTACATAGTCAATCTATCTTCCTATAGAAGAAGGTCACTCTTCTTTGCTCCAGCTCCGTCAGTTGCAGCTGCAGGGAGCTGGGACAGAGATGAAATGAACATTCCTTAAAATGCTAACTGATATCACAGAACTATCCACAAGCTGCTAAAAAACATCCAATTAGAACTGCTATAAATTTGTAGTCAAGGAAGTTTTTGATGACAACTGGCAAGTCTGGTTAATTTGGTGAAATTTAAATGACAAAACTGGAAGTAACTTAAAAATGCTAATGCTGAAAAAAACTTTTAAAGGCTTTTTAGAAGGCTCAGAAAGAAATCAGCATAAATAGAAAAATTCCCATTGGAAATGCTGAAGTTCTGACAGTATAAAGAAAAAAAAATATGTTCATTGGTACACTAAATTCCTTAGGCCTTTTCAAAAACTGAACATTTCTTAAAATGCACAAGGCTGGAGCATAAAGATAGAGAGGTCATTGCCCACCTAAAGTCAACCAAAGCACATTTTGCATGTTGGCCAAATAACTAAATACAAACAAAGCAGACCAACTCAAAACACAGGATACTTACATTTTAAGATACAATTTATATAAAACCATGTGTGTATAAACACATGCACTGGAAAATCTGTGTTAAGATAACACTAGACTAGGGAAGACATACATGTAACTCAAGAAAGTAAGATTTGGTAAATATGAATTTTTCTTTCACCTTGTATGTAGATAGTTTTTTTCAGACAAACTTTAAAAAACAATAAATATGTACACATGTGGGAAGATACATTTCAAATGCTTAGTTATCTATCTTGGAAATAAACTTTAAAAAAAAAATATGGAACGCTCCTTGAATTTGTGTGTCATCCTTGTGCAGGGGCCATGCTAATATTCTCTGTGTCTTTCCAATTTTAGTATATGTGCTGCCTGCTGAAGAGAGCACAGAAATGAACTCTTAAAAATAATCTGAAATTTAAGGAACTTTAGAGAAAAAAGCAGCCATGAGCATAGTTTTATTTATATATTTTGCAAAGACCTAGGATATCTACTGATTTATTTATAAAATAAATAACATTGTTAAAAGAAAGTAGTTTCTGAAGCTAAAAAAAACTTAGAAATCATCCCTCTAATTTTTAGCAAGAATTAACAGAATGGCTTTCTAGTATTGAAGGAAAAAAAGGTATTAGCTTTTCAAATAAGGTACATTTAAAAACTTGGTATGATTCCAAATAAAATGTTTAATGGAACTAAATTTTACATTAAAATTTTAACTTTGTGTTATAAGAAAATATTTTAATTTTGTTCCTACAATTTCTGATTGATTCTTTGGAAAATTAAAAGTAAACTCTTCAGGGGCTGGGGTTGTAGCTCAGTGGCAGAGCGCTTGTCTAGCATGTGTGAGGCCCTGGGTTTGATTCTCAGCACAACATATAAATAAATAAAATAAAGGCCTCTCGATAACTAAAAAAAAAAAAAAAGAAAAAAAAATAAACTCTTTATAACTCTGCACCATATTGCCTAGGAGGCAGAAAACACAATGAAATTATAAATTTCTCTAATACAGTATTTAGTATTGAGTCATACATGGCCTCCAATAGCATGAGTATCACAAACATCCTTATTCCTACTATACAAAATTTACAGATGCTAACATTTTCATATTTACTTCTATTCTTTTTCTTTTTTAAAAATATTTTTTAGTAGTACATGGACCTTTATTTTATTTACTTATATGTGGTGCTAAGAATTGAACCCAATGCCTCACACATGCTAGGCAAGTACTCTGCCACTGAGCCACAACCCTAGCCCCTTCTAATCCTTTTCTATAGTAAAAGAAATAAAACATTTCTTTGAAGTTGCTATCACATTTTTACTCTTTTCTTAGACTTACTTTCCTCCTCTCCCAGAGGCAACCAATTTTGTAAATTTCATGTTTACATGTTTTATTATACATATACATAAATGTAAGTATTCTTGTGTGTGTGTGCTGTGCCTTTAAAAAATAACGTTTTGATTTTCAGGTGTGGTAATGTTGATACATATAAATCTAATTTGATTCACATTAACTTCTAAATAGCACTTTATGACAATTTATGTATCTATTCACCTATTGAGTAAATATGTTGATGATGGTAAGAATCAGAATTTTCACTGTTGGCTAAGGAAAATATAAATATTTTTATTTGTATAGACAGATAGAAAAGATGAAGAAGAACTTGGTGATGCTGGATTCTAACTGAAGCTATTAGTAGGATTTTATGACTTAAAAATGCATACATACATATATATCTATTTTTCCATGCAAATATGAATGTAACTCTGTATACTGAAAAGAGTCTAGAAGCAATGATACATAAAAGGAATTTTAAAAATCCTAATTTGTAAATATTATTTCATAGGAAAGACAACAAAGGTTCATTAAAGAAATGGTCAGTTCCAAGCCTGGGGCAAGGAAAACTCAAGGTGAATCTGGAATATTTTGTGTGCCAGAAAAAGAGAAAGAACTACTCAGGAATTATGGGAATGTTTACAGAAACAAAACAACAGTTTAAAGGAGATTTCACAGGACAGATCTAAGCTTAAAGATAAAAAAGAAAAAAAAAAGTGAAGGATTATAATGCATTAAATATTAATAACAAAAATAAAAGAATCTTCAACTTTATAGTGATATTTTTTTAAAGGAGGAAAAATAAATTTCTTCTTTGTAGAAAAACAACAGCTAATAAATATGGAAGCAATGGTAGAATTAGAAAACCACCATTTTGAAACTGTTTCAGGCAAAAATCATCAGTGAATGCTAAAACCACTGGGTGAAAGATTTTGGGGAAAGAATGAACACATGATTTGAAATTATCACACCATATATTATTTGCTAATTGCAAAAGAAAAAAGTTATTTTTAGAATTTGCCTTATTTTAGTAAGGTGGAAATTATATTTATTGGTTAGGAAGGTCTTCTCTTTAGTCTTTGCCTATTTTTCTGTTGATTTTCTTGTGTTGTATTGAGTTGTACAAATTTCTTATATACTTTGGATATTGTATTTTGAAAGTCTTTACTCAGACTATAACTTATTTGTAGGACATTTTGTATAACGAAAGTTTTGATTTTGATATAGACAAATACATCTCTCATTTCCTTTACGATTTGTGCATTTTGAGGCAAATTTCATTTACTTTCCCCTATTTTCAGTCATAAAGTGTTTTAGTCAGTTTTTTTGCTGCTGTGACTAAAGGACCTGACCAGCACAATTATAGAGGAGAAGAGATTTATATGAGGGCTCAAGATTTCAGAGGTCTTAGTCCAAAGAAGGCAAGTGCCATCCTTCAGGGCTCGAGGTGAAGCTGAACATCATGGTGGAGTATGTGGTAAAGAGAACTAGCTCACATCACGATGATCAGAATGCAGAGAGAGAGTTCTTCACTTGCTAGATACAAATATATATATCCCAAAGCCACACCCCAATTCCTATACCATACCACTTCAGTTACCATTCAGTTAACCCCAATCAGGGGATTAATTCACTGATTGGGTTAAGACTCTTACAATCCAATCATTTCTCCTCTGAACCTTCTTACATTGTCTCACATGTGAGCTTTTGGGGGATACCTCACATCCAAACCATAACATAAAGAAAGCCTCCCATATTTTCTTCTGAAAGTTGGATCCTATTCAGTTTATTTAATTAATGAGCTGAACCGTAAAGGCTGAAATGTTAGAAAATAAAAGCTACTGTAGCAGCCTCTGATCAATGTTAATTTTTGTTCTATGAGGTTTTCCAGCTTTAAGTGAAGACCCCTTTTAAGAGCATTGAATAATTGAGTTACTACTTAAAACCATAAGATAAAGTTATACTTTCAGGATATTAAAAAAAGTAGAGAAGAACAAGTCAAATCATCTTACATGAGTGAACAAAACTTCCTTCCTGAGATCTTCAAAATTGTCATTTGGAGTCCATGCTTCAGCAAAATGCAGGAAATCCCATTTTTCCTTATCATCTTCTTCAGCCTGAAGCTGTTCCTTCCTACCATTTAATGTGCTCCCAGTGACCCGGACCTGTAAGATGAAAAAACATATGAATTTTACAACAGTTTATCTCACAGATGACGTTCATTAAGTAGTAACTTGATTTTGCATTTAAACCATAAGTTATCCACTAAGAGAATATTACTATTCCAACTTTAGTAGTATAGATATTCAAAATTACAACCAAATTACCATCTCAATGATTTCTATGCTTAATGAGGGAAAGACCTAACTAGAAACATCACAATATTTGCTTTTCTCATAAAAGCTTTTAATATTTATATGCTTTGAATTTTAACTTATAGATAATAGGCCATTTTGAATATCTATACTCACTGATTGAAAAATACTACAACAGAATGAATATGCTGCCTCCCAAAATCCATTAAGATGTAATTCTGGCTCTCGATGTGATGATATTAGGAGGCTGGAACTTTGGGAAGTGATTATGTGGTAAAGGTGGAGCCTTCACGAATGGGAATACTACACTTATAAAACAGACTCCAGAGAGTTCTCTTTCTATCATGTGAAGATACAAGAAGCTGGCAGACTACAACTTGGAAGAGGGCCCTCATCAGAATCCAACCATGCTGGCACCCTGATCTCAAACTTCTAACCTCCCCAACTGTGAGGAATAAATTTCTATTGCCCTTGTGTCAACAGTATATAGTATTTTGTTACAATAGCACTTACTAAGACAGAAATCCTCTAATACTTAGTCAAGCCCTTTCTATAAACATCCTTCCAGATTAGGGAGAAGAGATAGTTTAGAGAACAGAGCAAATAATGCCATTCCTAACTTTTCTTTTTTATTTTGGGTACTGGGGATTGGATCCCAGTATACTTTTCCACTGAGCTATATCCCTTGTCCTTTTTATTTTTACCTGGATACAAGGTCTCACTAACTGGCCCAGACTAGCCTTGAATTATGATACTCCTGCCTCAATGTCCTGAGTTCCTGAGATTACAGGTGTGTGCCACCATACTCAGCTCATTCCTAACTTTTCTAGGGTCTGGGTAAGGATGTCCTTTGTCTAATATTAGATCAGAACTCAAGAATCTTTCTGGAAAGGATTTAGACTTAGGCTACAAAAAGAACTTGGAGTTTCAAATATTGGGTTCCTTGCTAGCTGATCCTATTCTTCTAGTTCTGAAGCAGGAGAATCAGTGGTAAGCACTATGATCTCTATTATCATTACCTTGGTGTACTTTGCCTGAAGACATTAAATCTCAGCTTTTTTTTTTTTAAGGTGGACACAATATCTTTATTTTATTTTTATGTGGTGCTGAGAATTGAACCCAGTGCCTCACGCATGCTAGGCGAATGCACTACCACTTAAGCCACATCCCCAGCCCAAATCTCAGCTTCTTAACTGATTCAGGCTATAGATCATAATAAGCAAGTTAGTAACTTGGTTTAAATGCAAATTCTACCTTTCGATTCAGCATTCCCCACATAAGGGTGTCCAGAGTCCCATTTGCAATAAGGTAGTGAATAGTCACAGAACTGCACTGTCCAATTCGGTGAGCACGGTCTTCTGCTTGTTTTATATGTCCAGGGTCCCAGTACAACTCAGCAAATACAACATGACTTGCGGCAGTAAACGTTAAACCCTAAGCAAAAGATAGTGAAGAAACTGAGATGCAAATAAATTAAAAACTGTAACACAACAGTCATATACAATAAAGTCTTTCTGAATATGTTAAATGGAGATCATCAGAAGACTTAGAAACAAATCAGTTGTTCATTTTAAGCCAAATTAAGAAGATTCAAAAAAGTTAAAAGATTGCTTATTGCAAGACAGCCAAGTGAACTACAAAAAATATATTTAAAAGACATTTTGATGTTTCAAAATGTTTCAGGTTGATGGATATACATAAACAAAATCACTTCATTCTTTGATGAAGACTGGATTCACTTTAACACTGGAAAATCTAATAAAATATATAATAAAGGTGAATATAATTTCTAACACATGGTATCCATAGCAACTAGGCAGACAGTATCAACATCCTCTTCATTTAATTCAAACTGCAGTACTATAAAGTAAGAAAATCATGTCTTCAGTGATACTTTTTTCTACCTGTGAAATTTCTCATGATACATCCTGAAGACACTGAAGTTTAGTGCTTTATGTCTCAATATATATAATGCAACAGCATTTTTTTGTAATTGCATTTTGCATGAATTTGAAATAGTGTGACATAAAAATATGAACTGTCTTATTGTATAAGCAATATGAAATAATGCAAATTTCCTCAAATAAAAATTGTGTCAAAGATGCATGATGTTAAAGTTGGTAGACTGAGTGAGATGTAAACAATGCTTATACTATGGCCATATAGTAGTAAACGATGTTAGGTAATGGTCAGAAAATCTACCAACCTTTAGGAAGATGGTCTATTCCATGGAGTTGTTCACATGCATTGAAAGTTCTATGAGTGAGTAGTTTTTGTGATGATATTATTTTAACTTAAAATGTTTTTGTGTCATGTAACAAACTCATATTAGCATTCATTTAATGGAGCACTAGGTCTCAAGCTGAAAATTTCATTGAAAACCAGTCACTTTATAAAATAGGTTACAAGTAACAAAAACATGGATAGAGCCGAATAAACACAATGTTGAAACCTACTGCTATTTAGGACCAAATGTACTATCAAATATTAGAGATGATGCTGAAAAATAAGAAGTAGCATTTAGAGAGGAACACCTTTAAACTTGTAAAAAGGATCACATGACCATATAAGAATAAAGGAAAATATGCTGTCAAGATCACTGTCATCTTTTTTTTTTTTTGGGTGGTGCTGTGGATTGAACCCAGGGCCTTGTGCATTTGAGGCAAGCACTCTACCAACTGATCTATATCCCCAACCCCTCTATATCATCCTGAGAGCTGTTAACCTATAATGTAAGATTCTCAGTGCTAAGAACAAAGCTCTTCCTACTTTCCTTTATTCCTATGAAGATATTAGTCTTCAAAGTATAAGAGTCTTGAATTATAATAGGTCTTCAGGAACACACCTTTGAATAATATGGGAGTGACTTGTACATTCTTAACTTCAAAAAGTCATTTATTTTTTAATTGTATTTTTAATTTGAAAAAGTCCCAGGCTATCCTGCCTGGTTTTCTCCTACGTATCACCAACCTTGCTATAAATACTCCATTTCTAATTTTAAGCTTTTGTTAGTATTTCTATATCTGGAATACTATTAACAGATACTGAGCTCAGATTACTGGACATACAATGCAACATGACAGAAGTATTGAGATAACCCTCCCTTTAATTTGAATTCCTTGTGAGTTCCAGAAATGCTTCATCCTCAGAATTTCTTTATTTATACAATTTTATTTTTTAAAATATATTTATTTTTTAGTTTTAATCAACACAATATCTTTATTTTACATTTATGTGGTGCTGAGGATCGAACCCAGTGCCTCATGTATGCAACGCAAGCACTCTACCACTGAGCCACAACCCCAGCCCTATATATACAATTTTATTTAAATCATTTAGCTGAGTAGAAGCAGATCTTTGCTATATATTAGGTTGCAGGCACAGAAGTACTCTCAATTAGTTTTCTGTATGTTGAATGTACTGACTTAACACTTACGTAGGAATATTTTAGAATATAGGAGAAAAAAGGACAGAAAGATCCCCTAAATATAGTGTGGCTATGACTGTCATTGCTTTCCCTAATATTTATTCTTCTCTTATTCCTCCATAACATAACACCTGGATTTTATCAGGGGTACTGGGAATAAAGACTACTCTTTCCAGCTTCCCTTGTAAGTTTGGAGCGACCATGGGACTAATTGCAAGCCAGTGAGAAGATGTAGTGGGTCTTCCTTCAGGCAACTGCCTGAATTACAGATATGATGGAGAAGTTCTAGCAGCCCTCTTAGATTACAGATACTTGTTTGGAGTGGTAAAGCAGAAAGCCAGAAGAGGCATGGGTCCTAAGGATTTTGTGGAACCACCATTCTAGGATTGGACTCTCTGTAAGAGAGAATGAAATTTTTTATGTTTAAGTTACTCTTAATCTGAGTTTTTATTTACTTACACATCAGAGCACTCTATAACAAGTTCTTGGACAAAAGAATTTCTCCCTCCCAGACCATGTTGTCTCACAGATCAATGAAACATAACCAAGTAAGATAAATGGTATAACAAAGTTTTGAGAAAATTCAAAGGAAGGAAAAAAGATCATAGTAAAGCACTACAATCAAATTAACTATACTCTGCTGGGTAATTCTTTACTTGAAAATTTAGGAAGATTTGAGTCAAAAATGTTGAGGCTTCTTTCTATTATACTTTTTAGCATTCTCTAAAATAGAATAAATATTAAAACTAGAATCCAGATATAAAGCTACTTATAGCAAAACCAGTGACAAACCAAAAATTACACTATAGTTTACAAACCAAAATTATGGTTAATGGCCTTTTTGTTATCTCAGTGACATTTTCATATCAAATTGAGACTTGAAATTTCTTACCTGACCAGCAGCCTGAATGCTTAGAATAGCCACACGAGTATCAGGATCATTTTGAAATTGATTAACCAGATGTATCCTTTCTGAAGATGGAACACTTCCATCTATCCTAATGTAGCGAGTCTGACATCGACAAGATAAATGGCAAAATTAGGTCAAGCCCCTATGTATCCTTCTCATAAACTGTACTGCTTATTTTATGGTCATACAAAATAATGGAAATTAGTTAAGATGACAGGTTGGCAAATGTTTTATAAAAAAACTATTACCAAGTTTCTTAATAGCTTCTTATATTATGGCAATATCTTTTATTTTTAACTTTTTTTTTTTTAGTTGAAGATGGACACAGTACTTTTAGTTTATTTACTTATTTTTATGTGGTGCTGAGAATCAAACTCGGTGCCTCACACATGCTAGGCAAGAGTTCTACCACTGAGACACATCCCCAGCTCCAATTTCTTTTTTTTTATTATTAGTTGTTCAAAACATTACATAGCTCTTGACACATCATATTTCATACATTTGATTCAAATGGTTATGAACTCCCATTTTTACCCCGTATACAGACTGCAGAATCACATCGGTTACACATCTACATTTTTACATACTGCCCTACTAGTGTATGTCTTATTTTTTAATTAAAAGCCTACTTAAAGATAGGGTCTACATCTAATTCATCTTTATATCATCAGTATCAAGGGAAATGCCTTGTATACAACAGGAGCTCCACACATCTTTTTGAATTAAGGTAATGGTTATTTTTAGTAAAATTCTATGTAAACTAGTTGGGCACGATGGCGCAAGCCTGTAATTCCAGCGGCTTGGGAGGCTGAGACAGGAGAATTTTGAGTTCAAAGCAACCCTTAGCAAAAAAGGAGGTGCTGGGCTGGGGTTATAGCTCAGGGGAAGAGTGCTTGCCTCATGAGGCACTGGGTTTGATCCTTAGCACCACATAAAAAATTAAATAAACAAAATAGAGATATTGTGTCCATGTATAACTAAAAAAAAAAGCAAGGTGCTAATAAGCAACTCAGTGAGATCCTATCTCTAAATAAAATACAAAATAGGGCTGGGGATGTAGCTCAGTGGTCAAGTGCCACTGAGTTTAATCCCTGGTACCAAAAAAGAAAAAAAAATTCTATGTAAATTGATATGCAACCTTTAAACAACGGATCAGACTAACTTTAAAGTTATAGAATCACTGATTCCAAAGTAAAAGCATAGTCAGACATGCTAGAACAAAGATGACTCTGCTCACATAGCAAGGATTCAAGAAGAGTACTGAATGTAATACTGAAATACAGCTCAAATATTAACTGGGAAATATGGCCCTTGAGTTCTCTTTTTTCACAATGTTAAAATGCAAAGAAAAACATGATATGGTCATTTCCATTCAGGTGGTGAAATAAGATACCCACATATATTTTTTTAAAAGTTGAGAAATATTATTAAACTGAACAGTGTTGTCTTTAAGAATAATTTCAGTTGTGACAAAGAAGTGTTTGAAAAGCTAAAAATAACTAATAATCCACCTTCATAAAAACAATTATGAGCCCTAAATTTCAAATAGTCTCACTCAAATATGCACGTCTACAGAAAGTATGGCCTTAAGTAGTTGAGACATAGAAATATTCACTTTTAAAAGAGAATAATTCAAGTTAACATCAAATAGAATATCAACTATTAACTTTATCTCCACAAAGCAAATAATAAATAAACTAAAAATCCATTTATTATTCATTAAGAGAGATTATAAAATCTTCTAAGGGTCTTTCTAAAAAAAATACACAGTTTGTAAGAAAGTTTGGGAGACAATCACTTTCTACCCCATGAGTACCTACATTTTTAACTTTTAGTAAAATATAGTAAAGCTAAATGAGATTCTAAACATACTAGTAAAATGAATGTGGGAAAAAGGGGCAGACCATTATACTTGGAATAGATTCTAGTAATTTTAAAGTGTAATAGAATCAGAATAAGAAAATATTATGAACCTAATTTTATTGCTCTATCACTTAAAAATTATTTCTAAGTTTAATTAACACCTCACAAGGTGTTGTATAGATACTATAGAATAATCAATGAGAAAGTAACTTTTAATGTATAACACTTTATTACATTGTTCTCTATGTGCTCTATGGAGGAAATACTAGGACTACTTCTTTGGCTAATGTTAATGAACATAATAGTTAATTCTTAAAAAAACGATATAAAGGGGCTGGGGAGATAGCTCAGCTGGTAGATTGCTTGCTTCACATGCACAAGGCCTTGGGTTTAATCCTCAGCACCACAATAAATAAATAAATGACACAGGAGTAACATTTAAAAAAATTGATATAAAGTTTTTTTAAAAAAACATGGCTTAATTCCTGATTTTAAAAAACTGACCTATAATGACAAGTGGCTTTGTTGTTGCATGTTTAGCAAGCTTACATATTTGTCAGAGAATTTCTTTTGGCCATTTCTGAACATCTCTAGAAGCTCTCATCATTTAAAGAGAATAGATGGCAGGTATAAATGTGGAAAAAAAATGGATGATGCTGTCGCTGACAGAACCATTGGTAATTAAGGTTGACTGAAGAAAATGTGGTAGAGCCAGCTTATTTGGTGGCACTAATCTGGTAAGTCACATGGGCCATCTGTTTCAAATTCATCTACACTAAATATTATCAATCATTTTCTATAGACAATACTGCCTGGAAGTTTAAAAGGTGTAAAAGTACTTAGTTGATAATACTGGCTGGATTCCTTTTTTCGTCTACATAACCCACATTCAAAGGACACCATGCAGATAAACAAAAATTTTAACTTTTAATTGTTAAAGAACATACTACTCTCAAATGGTATATCTAGGAAAAAAACAGAATTCACATTACTGTTTCCAAGCAACCTATGATTAATGAATTCAAATAAATTTATCAAAGGAAAATTTAAAAATTGGCATGAAAGACAAAATAGTACATCATAATAATATAGCATTTGTATAATTTGAAAAAAAAATTTTAATAATACATTATTTCTAAAATAATAAATTTTATAAAACATCATCTGAAGAAGGGGGGAATATCCTACCTAAATTATGAGACTACAAGTAATTTTTAGAATAGTACAAATTTGCATTCTAAAAATTATTTTACATAACAAAGTCAACATACCTTGTTTTCAATGACTGCTTCTGTGCAAGCTTGGAGCATGCTTAAATGGTGAGCAAAAACCAGAAACTTAAGTGAATCATTCTGAAGTATCATCTTAATATAATCCTTTACTGCACCTGCCTAAATATTAAAAATTAAACCATATTAATGTCATAAAAATTTTATTTAAGAATCATGTCATTTTTAAAGCAAAAAAATGCCTCAAAAATCAGCAAGTCTCTGTATTAACATCAGTAGGTCTCACAACTTTCAGCTGCTTTCTTCTCTGGGCAGTATACGGAAGTAGAAGCCAATATGTAAGGGGCATGTGAAAAAAGAGGGAGAAGAGGTGAGAAATGAGAGGTAAAACAAGAACAAGACAAGAATTAGAAAGAAAAAGAAAATAAAGCACAACATGGAAAGGGGTTAGTCAAGCAGGGTGTGGTAGAAGGGGTAGATAGTTTTGCTTAGAAGTTGACTTTCAAAAAAGTCTTAAAGAAGACTGTTTGTGTAGAGTTAAAGAAAAAACAGAAAGTAAAAATTTTTTTTTAAAAATGGTATTTTGGGGGCTGGGGTTGTAGCTCAGTGGTAGAGCGCTTGCCTAGAACATGTGAGACACTGGGTTCAATCCTAGCAGCACATAAAAATAAATAAATAAAATAAAGGGATTGTGTTCATCTATAACTAAAAAAAAATTTTTTTTAAATAATGGCTTTTTTTTTTTTTTTTTTTAAAGGAAAGACTGTAGAAGAATAAGAAGTCTGAGACTGAAGTTAAGATTTAAGGAAAATTTGTTTGCCTGTTTATTTATTTTTTGACAGGACTAGGGATTGAACCCAGAGGTACTCTTCTTCTGTGCTATATCTCCAACCATTTTTTACTTTTTTTTTTTTTTGACTTCTTTGTTTTTATGTGATGCTGAGGATTGAACATAGAGCCTCAAACATGCTAGACAAGCATTCTGCCACTGAGCTACAACTCCAGCCCCGCTTTTTAAAATTTTGAGATAGGATCTCATTAAGTTGCCCAGGATGGCCTTGAACTTTTGATCTTCTTGCCTCAGCCTCTCATATAGTTGAGATTACAGGCATGTGCCACCTTGCTCAGTTGGGTGGGTGGGTTTTATCTATCTATCTATCTATCTATCTATCTATCTATCTACCTACCTACCTACCTACCTACCTACCTATCTGACTCTGGAGATAGAACCCAGGGCTTTGTGCATGCAAGGCAAGCACTCTACCAACTGAGCTATATTCCCAGCCGGGGTTTATTTACTTTTTAACTTAAGGAACTTAGTAGGCTTACTAACAGGCAGTTAAAGAAGAGAACAGGCTAGGAGAAAGAGAAAATAAGGGCATTTGGCTTTTTTTGAGGTAGAGAAGATTCCAGAAGAGCCTGGAGTGACAGGATCAAGAGCACAGGAGGAATGTCTGAAAGAACAGAGGGAAATATGAAGAAATTGTGTGGTAGAAGAAAGAAAATCATGAAAGCTCAGATTGAATATGCTTTTATCAGTTAACTTTAGGAAAAATTACATACTAAGAATAAGAAGTCAACATGAAGTGACTTAAATAGGAATTGAATTTAGGTGGATAGGATTAATTAATTTTAAACATGGATATAGTATATTCTAACTGTTAAAAGCTAGTTACTTAAATGTTTTGTATAGAGATGACAGGCGGAATGCCAGGTTGCTTATGACTAAAACTCTCAGGTGTCACTTCAGGGGAACTGGGCTAACTGGGCTGCGTGAAACAACCAAACAAGGGACAGAAATACCTTCTTTGGGGGTGCTGTGACGGCTCCTCTGACCTTAAGAGTCCACAGAAAGAGAGAGAGAGAGAGAGAGAGAGAGAGAGCGCGTGTGAGCATGCGCTGACCCCTTTTATTGAGGAGAAGCTATTCAAATGAGGCAAGGGGTCAGGTTTCAAGGTGCTGAGTCTAGCTTCATGATGTCTGTTGTCAGCAGATTGACTGACATCTAGGAAGACCACACCCCAGGGCCCAGTAAGAGAAGGGGACACACAAAAGGCATTTCCATGGAACATTCTATCCTAAACAGGGCAAGGGATAATATTACAAAGGACCAGGTGAGCATAGCTCCACCCATGGAGATGTAGAAAGGCATGCCCATGCAGGAAGACACAGTCACTCAAAACCTAGAAGACCAAGGCCATCCAGCAGCATGACCACTGGATGCTACACCCGCTCAGCAGGGAGTCAGACCCAGTCAGGTATAGTTTGGCCTAACACAGTGGAAGACATTTCTTTTCTATGCCATTTTTAAATTTTAGTAAACTGTACAGGGACAAAGAAAATTGGAGAAAGGTCAAAAGCAACAAAACTTTCAAAGCTAGTAAATAGTTGATGCCTAATAACTGATTAGCCAATCTGGGAGATCCAAAAAAAAAAAAAAAAAAAAGTCAAGAAGCACCTGGTTCATGCTATAGTCATCTATAAAGGCTTAGGAAAAATAGCACCTAGGGAATGAGAATGAAGTATGGCTAGAACTGGAGGACTTGCTGAATGCTGAAGTAGTTGATTGTGTATAACATTGTTCCATATCCTCTCTCTATGGATCCCACATCACAGGTACCTTTCCTGACCACCCTAGCAGAAAATTAGAATTATTTTTTAGATAGGGTAAAACAATTTATTTGGATAACTGGAACTCCACATCTATGTATGATATCAAAGTGCATAAATGCATTCTACTGTCGTGTATAACTAATTAAAACAAATTTTAAAAAAGTATGGATTGGAAACTTAAGGCTCAATGCAATAGTGTTGAGAGGTAGGGCCTAATATGAGGTGTTTAGGTTATGAGGCTTCTACCTTCTTAAGTGGACTAATGCCAAGTATAAAAGGGCTTAAGGCTGCAAATTCAATCTCTTGATCTCTCACATTCTCTTGTCTTTCTGTATTCCACTATAGGACAATGCAGCACAAAGTCCCTCCTCACAAGTGCACACCTTGATATTGAACTTCTTAACCTCCAGAACTGTGAGCCAAATAAACTTCAATTGTTTAAAAATTACTCAGTCTTGGGTATTATGAGCACAAAAGGACTCAGAGAGTAGGCATACAGTGCAAAAATCATGGAGATTAAATGAATATTATATATAAATGATAAAGTACTGGAGCTGTAGCTCAATGGTAAAGGCACTTGGCTGACACGTGTATCCGAAACCCCAGAACCACATACAAAGTTATGTGTGTCTGTGTGTATGTGTATGTGTGTATATACACATGTACAGACACATATGTGTGTGTATATATGGATATGTGTGCTCTTAGCCTTATTACCTCCATATATCCCAAAGAGACAAATAGGCTTATGTCCATTAAGCAGAAGAGCAGAATCATATAAAAAGTGATTCTTTTCTGGGGAATATGACCAGCCAAAGAGGAGGAAAACAAAAACAAAAAAACAAAAGAAAGAAATAGGGGCTGAGGATGTAGCTCAGTGGTAAAGCGCTTGCCTCGAATGTATGAGGCACTGAGTTTGATCCTCAGCACCACATAAAAATAAAGATACTGTGTATTCATCTACAACTAAAAAATATACATAAAAATAAAAAAGGAAAGAAACAACTAAAGATAGGGTTCTCAACAAAACATCCCAATCAGATCACCTTTAATTGACAGCCATAGTCTATAAGCATATCTATGCACAAGATTTAGCATAGTCAGTGTTTAGTATCTTTTATGTAAACAGAAGCAAACAACCCAAGATCACCGGACATTTTTAGAACACAACACAGATGAATATATTAACTGTGCAGGCTAGAAAAGAGTGTATTTATAAAACAAAAACAGGATGATATAAAAATGAAACATTGAATGGAAAAAATGCTCTCAAAAATTAAAAATATAATAGAAGTTTAAAATTCACTGGTTATTAAACTGAGAAAATGTCCAAAAAAGTAGGTAGAAAAAAAATAAATAAAATACAAGAAAATTAGAGAACTAAGTCATGAGAGCAATATGTGAAAAATAACATTTCTAGGAAATAATGCAGAGAAAGAAGAAGAAAGAAAAAAATCAAAGAAAAAGTTTCACTGATCATATGGGCATGAGTATTCACAATGGAAAATGGAAAAGTATTCATCCTTCATGTGAATGAAAATGAACCCAGAGCAAGGCCTATCATTATGAGATTTTAGAATGCTGGGGATAAAGATTCCAGAGAAAGGAGGAAAAAATTTCTCAGAATCAAAATAGGATAAAAATCTTGAATTGCATTGGATTTTTCAACAACAATACAAGAAATTTTTAGAGAAACAGATTTCTACAAATTTCACATCCAGCCAAATTAAAAACCAGGTATAAAGAACATGAATATTTTCAAATATCTAAGTGACTCAAATAATTTACCTCCAAAGAACCTCTTTTTGGGGAGGCTTACTGGGGACTTTGATCCAGCAAAATAAGAGAGTAAACAAAGAAAGAAAATAATATGGAAATAGGTGGTTCAGAACAAAGGAGAAAAAGAAAACCTCTAGGATGAAAGCTATGCAGCAGACCTAAGGAGCAACGGTCTAGACTGGAGTTGATTCAGGGAAAATTTCTTTAAGAAGATGAAATTAACAAAGCCCAACGTTTAAAGACAGTAAGAAAATAACGAGGGAAATAACAAGGGAAAACTTTGAGGATGAATTAGTAATAGGTACACCGACAATTAAGCAAAAGAAGAGGAAAACAAAAACAAAAACTTCAATTATTAAATGAAAATAAAATAAAATGTGTTATAGAAGAAATAAGACATGATAAAGGGTTACAAAGTTCTAGTTAGAAGTAAGACATTTTGGTGTGCTTTTGAACACTGGAGGTGACAGTCATATCAATAATGTACTGTATATTTCAAAAAGCTAGAAGAAAGGATATCGAATTTTTCACCACAAAGAAAGGATAAATGTTTTAGGAGCTAGATATGTTCATCCTGATGTTAACATCATGCAATGTATTGATATATCACAATGAAAATTCATAGGATCTCACATTGCTCACTAGTAAATATTTTAAACACGTTTCTAATAATATACATAGCAAATGTGGATCAAGCCAAAATTAGTAGAAGTTGCTATACAATTAGTAAAACTATTTTGTGTATTTAATTACATATAAGAGGAAGTGAG